TTCCCAGATCTCTCCTTAGTTCAGTAACTTTAGTTGTCACTTCATCTCTCAATACTGCACAAGACTTATGCATAAAATGGGAGTAAGAGTAATACCTCATAGCACCTTTAGTTGTTATAGGAACCAATTGAGATGGTGCTTTGAAAACTGTGGAGCCCTATCAACATTTGAATTCTTTTATCCTTGGGATTTGATTTTGCCTGTCACTTTTAGAATGATGGCAGCTTAGGACCTTGGGTTTCATGGAATCTATTCTCTCATTTGATAAAAGAGGAAACTAAGGTTCAGAGAGGGGTGGGCTACCCAAGACCATACAACCGGGTTGTGCAATGTTTAAGCTGGAAGTCACGGCTGCTTCTTCAGTGTTCCTTTATGTTCAATCTGCTTTGTAGATTTCAATTCAGAGTCTTTCGGAAGTTCCGTACTTGAAAGGTAAAATGTGGTTGGGGCGCCTGGGCGGCTCAGTCGGTTAAGCGTCTGACTCTTGGTTTCGGCTCAGGTCACGATCTCACAGTTCGAGGGATCCAAGCCCCGTGTTGGGCTCTGCGCTAACAGCTTGGAGCCTGCTTGGGATCCTCTCTCCCCCTCTCTCTCTGCCCCTCCCCTGTTTGCTCTCTAGCTCTCAAAACAAGTAAATTTCTTAAAAATTTGAAAAGTAAAATCAGGTCATTTAAAAGTGAAAAAAGAACTAGTAAAGGATGAAAAAATTCAAAATGCTGCGTATCAGAAAGTCCAAAGGCCCAAATGAGCAAGTTCAGCTCTTGAGTCTGACGGAATCTTCTTATTCCAAGTGATGTGGGCTATTGATATACCAGTAGGATCTGTAAGGAGGGTCCTCACCAGGTGAAGCCCAGTGACACCACCTGGTGACATCACCAGGGACTTTAACCTGTGAGACTGTCCACAAAGACTTTATAGTAGTTGAACAGAGAAAGGGGAGGCAATCAGTGAGTGATTCTGTGGCCCCCCCCCCGGAAGATGGTTTGTCATAATGAAAGGTGAACGAGGAAACAAGCCACTGCCATGGCCATCGGTGCTACATTCCCAAGGAGAGCAGCCATTTTGCTTTTGCAGGCAATTATCTACAGCTGTGTTAACTAAAATTTCAATTTTGTTGGTTTCGTGGTTTATTTTTGATTTGTACATTTGTTTCTATGAATCAATGTCTAGGAGCCATGGAGTTACAATGGCGTTTTATACTGGAATGGAACATTACTATAGAAACAGCTTAACCCAACAATAGGGATCCACGTGCTATTTCCCTTTAAGAGAGGTCCAAATGTTGCTCAAGCTTAAAAACACTTGGCAGGTGGGGCGCCTGGGTGGCGCAGTCGGTTAAGCGTCCGACTTCAGCCAGGTCACGATCTCGCGGTCCGTGAGTTCGAGCCCCACGTCAGGCTCTGGGCTGATGGCTCGGAGCCTGGAGCCTGTTTCCGATTCTGTGTCTCCCTCTCTCTCTGCCCCTCCCCCGTTCATGCTCTGTCTCTCTCTGTCCCAAAAACAAATAAACGTTGAGAAAAAAAATTAAAAAAAAAAAAACACTTGGCAGGTAAGGGTACATTGGTCCCATGTGGCCCCCAGAGGCAGGCTGCTTATTAACAGAAGCTCAGGGGAAGGAGAGAGAAAAGCTGTCCTGTCTTATATCAAGAAATCTGGGTCTCCTGGAGCCGTGGATTTCAAAATTTTCCCTAGTAAGCTTATATAAGTATTAAAATCAAACATTCCTCTCACACATTTTTTAGTTGACATTTAAAATTTTCTCTTTAAAAAAATTATTTGAGGGGTACCTGGGTGGCTCAGTCATTAAGCACCTGACTTCAGGTCATGATCTCACAGTTCATGAGTTCGAGCCCCACGTTGGATGAGATAGAGCCCCACATCTCTCTCTCTTTCTGTCTCTCTCTGCCCCTCACTCACTTGTGCCTTCTCTCAAAAAAAATTACTTGGAAGAGAGAGTGAGTGAGCACATGCATGCACGCATGCCAGATGGGATGGGAAGAGGGAGAGAGAGAGAGAATCGTACGCAATCTCCATGCCCAGTGCAGAGCCCTACGTGGGGCTCAATCCCACTACCCTGGGATCATGACCTGAGCCGAAATCAAGATTCAGAGGTTCAACTAACTGAGCCACCCAGACAATTCACCATAAGTTACAATAGTCACAAAAGATATGCTCCCAGTGTGTTGTAAACAGGGCATTTGAAAAACAAATGGTTACAGAACTCTTTTCAATACACATAACAAAGTGTAAGTATCAGAAGAGTGGAAAGCCTCCATGGTTCATTTAAAAAGGATGAGAACCACTCTTGTTTACCTCTTGGAACATCTGTATCACTCCTTTTTCTCCTTGAACCCACATTTTCATTCCACTTCTCCCACACAATTTTGCCTCCATGTAATGTGTGCATGCTTCAAGGTGGTAACTGAGGATCCTATTATGTTTCTCTGACACAGGTGTATGCATATAAATTGGAATTTTGGACTCTTTAAATGTCTAGTGACAGTAAGTTCCTAAGTGTTCCTTTCTATCTGGGTTGAATTATTGCTACAAGTATCATTAGCTCACAGTTGAGCAAAACAACGTAAATATATTTCAAACGTTGATATGTAATCATTACATATAAACGTAGAATGTCACTGAAAATGTCCCTCTTAAAGAGTTGGATTCAGCCACAGGTGACCATGACCCATTACTGCAGTAAGCCAGCAGGCAGCTTCCATTCCCTTCCTGGTTTTCGTTATTACGTAGGTAAGTTCTACAGCTCGCAGTTCTGATAAATAAGTAGCAAGAATTTTGTTACAGCAACGGCACACTCCATTCTTCGAACTCCTTCCAAGGGAGAGTTCAAAAATCACATACTAATCCATCTTCAAAAATTACTTTTATTAATCTATCACTTGACAACTCAATTAGGTCCTCCTCCTCCAATTTTATTAAGAACCAAAAAAAAAAAAAAAAAAAAAAAAAGAAAAAAAAAAAGGAAAAGAAACCATCTGATTTACAAAAAAAAAAAAAAATTGTTATTCAGTTATTGGAGTCATTTCTGGGAAAATATAACCAAACAGGTTCTACTAAGACTTAGTAAATGATGATTAATTACACTCATTATTCTTTCACTTAGGCATTTTATTTCACCCAATATTACCAACAAGATTTTTAAAAATCTACTGTTAATTTCACTATGTCTTTACCAATAGAATAGTTTTGATAGAATGCTCTTACCTCATCATGGGCTTTAAACCTACTAATTCAGGATGTTGGAGCAACCAATTAGCTCATTTCTTTTACAAAAAATGGTTGTCACACTAATGAATTGACAAAGTCAGTCCTCATCATCCAATCAATCAGCCAAATTAGACTTCAGCTTTCTGCTAGAAAGAATTTGCCTCCCTTCACCCATTCAAACGAATGCGTTCAGATGCGTCTCTGGGATAACACTTCACTTCACAGAGAGCCACGGAAAGAAGGCAGAGATCCCACTGCCTATTTTCCTCCTTGCTCGCGTTCCGTCCAAAGGCAAGCGCTATGCCAGTAGTTGGGGGAAAAAGACATCCTGAAAATAGTCCCAACACTTAATCTGGACTAAAACTCCCAGCTCTGCAGCTGTGGTTTCCTTTAACAGAAATACGCGTAGACAGCATGTTCATGACGCCTGATTCAACACTAATATGTCAGATCGCTTTGGCTTGGTGTAGCGCTCTAGTGTTTACATTCCGGGGCACACATGAGAAGTGTGCTTTTCTTCCATTAGGAGGAGGAAGGGCAGTTGGAAGGGGAGACTGGCAAATGAGAGCTGGTCCTTTCTCAGGCAGGTTCCCAAGGACATTGGGGATTTGGGAATCCACTTGCGTCAACCCAACTCCGGAGTGTCTACTGCTGTGGGGGCCCAAAGACTTCCAGGGGAAGGTACCAAGAGTTGGATTAAGAAAATTCAACGCCAGGGGCGCCTGGGTGGCTCAGTCTGTTAAGCATCTAACCTTGGCTCAGGTCACGATCTTGCGGTTCCTGAGTTCAAGCCCAGTGTCGGACTCTGCGCTGGCAGCTTGGAGCCTGGAGCCTGGAGCCTGTTTTGAATTCTGTGTGTCTCTCTCTCTGCCCCTCCCCCACTCATGTGCATTCTCTCTCTCTCTCTCTCTCTCTCTCTCTCTCTCTCTCTCTCTCTCCCTCACACACACACACACACACACACACACACACACAACACGCACACAAACATTTAAAAAAAGAAAAAAGATAATGCACCCCCAGATCCCCAACTTCCTTGGGAGTCTCCTGGTCCTGACCTACCTAAGAGTTTCTAACACCCACGCAGGAGCTTAGAAAGTGGCCCTTCTGCTGGCACATCCCGTAAAGCTTGTGGACGAGGCCCAGAGGCTCCAGATGCCCCTTGTGCCGCCCAGCCCTGCACCCTCTCCAACCCCAGGCCCGGGGCGGGGAACAATCAGGTCCACAGTGCCTTTGAAGATGCATTACAATGTACCACGAGGTGTGAGTTAGGGCCCAATGATTCAAATATGCTGATTCCAGGAGACAAGACTACTGAAAGAGCGCTGCAGATTTTAGTTCAGCCTGCAGAAAGTCCCAAATTTTACTGGTGAAGGTTCTAAATTGTGGAGAGAGACTGTTTGCTAGATTCACACATCAGCGGGTTTGTACCAGGCATGAAAACCCAGAAATCAAGAAGAGGGAACCCCAATAAAGTACCACTGGAAAGTCTTCATTCAGCCTGCCTTCAGTAGTCTTTAAAAACAAACAAGAGGGGCGCCTGGGTGGCGCAGTCGGTTAAGCGTCCGACTTCAGCCAGGTCACGATCTCGCGGTCCGGTCCGTGAGTTCGAGCCCCGCGTCAGGTTCTGGGCTGATGGCTCAGAGCCTGGAGCCTGTTTCCGATTCTGTGTCTCCCTCTCTCTCTGCCCCTCCCCCATTCATGCTCTCTCTCTGTCCCAAAAAGAATAAACGTTGAAAAAAAAAATTAAAAAAAAAAAAACAAAAAACAAACAAACAAGAAAGCAAACAAGCATGAAACTTATCTCTCCTGGAGCAGAGGTTACAGCACTTCTCCCAGAAAGGTTTTGAGCGAGGTTTATTTTGGATGGAGCTAAAAAGGCACAGGAATTGCCGCAGGCAGCCTTGAGCCCTGCAGTGTTGGGAGATCAGATCATCTCCAACCGGCTTCGAGGATGGGGATGTGGGAATCTATAGGAGGCAAAAGAAAAGAATGTGTCTGTCAAGTTTCTCTGTCTCAGTGCTTCTGAAATAGGTGGAAATTACAGCTCAAGTCCCTTCACCATGGGAACATCTGGAATATAAGTACTTCTGTGCCTATTAAGAGGACTATTTATAGTTTTCTAGGAATGTTAGGGAAAGCAATTATGTAAAATACTACTGTATTATTAGGTATTTGAAAAATACCAGGCTTGCAATTTTAGAACTGCAAAGATCTAAAAGCAATTGAGACTTCTACGATCTGTCTACCCCAAGTCAGAAAGTACTGGCTTATTTTCCCGACGTAGCGAAATCACCAAACACCAGCTAAAGTCTCTGCTGACACGGATAAATGATGTCACCAGGCATGCCCACCCTGCTGAAGTCATGTTGGTTCTACACTCACGCCGAGCCAGAGAGAAATATGAACCCGAGTTGCCTCTGGGATTATTTGGAAAATCCCCCTGCATATAAATGTGGCTGCTCAGACGGAGAGAAGGAGGCTGTGCACCCCAGAACGAGTCTCAGCTAAAAGGGGCTTCTGCTCTGTACAACTACGCCTGATGCTGAGACCTTCCGAGGGTTGTTGGCAACTTTCTGACTTCAATATCTGCCCCTCTTAAGCACTGGCCGCACTGCAATTATGTAAGGTCGTCATCTTGGGCTTCAAAGCATATTTTTGTGATCGTTAGAGTCTGTGAGCCTGGGACAGCAATATTAAAGGCACCAACACTCGTGAAAAGCCACCAAGGTTTGGCTGCTCCATTGCTTCACTGGCTTTTGGACAAACTTTTGTTGTAGTGTCTTCTCAGGTTTCCCAAGAGTTGATGGCGAGGCAGGAGGAAAGTCAGAGGAGACGTCTGTGCCCGGGCTCTAGTGGGATGGCACTGGTTTTAGCCCTCAATGGTGCTTCATGTGCACTGAGTACTTGGAGACCCAGGGACTGACCTGCCTGCACCTCTGTCTCTTCTGGAAAATCTTTCAGGGACATGAATGATAAGCTTAGAATTATTTCATGCTATAATACCGTAGTGACAGCTGATTTTTAAAAATTAACTAATGATGTAGGGGCGCCTGGGTGGCTCAGTCGGTTAGGCGTCTGACTCTTGATTTTGACTCAGGTCATGACCTCACGTTTTGTGAGATCGAGCCCCAAGTCAGACTTCATGCTGATAGTGTGGGGCCTGCTTGGGATTCTCTCTCTCGCTCTCTCAAAAATCAAGAATTAAGCCTAAAAAATTAACTAATGAAGTAATTCTATTTCATTCTTCCTAAATTAGAACATATACATGTGTGTGCATGTGTATAAATTTATATGTGTGGATGTATATACACATATATGCATATATGTATGCATACACATTTATATGTTTTGCATTTGCATGATCCTAAAACTTCACCTTTCAGGGCGCTATGGGGGATGATCCGGTAGGTTGGAAAGTGTATCAAATGAGAATCATGGCATTCTAGATTCTAGTCTGTGCTTTGCATTCATTAGCTGCGATGCTTTTGCAAAGTTCTTGGCTTTTCTAGGCCTTAATTTTATTTGCAAAATCAATGTATGGGGATTCCTGAGATCATTCTTAATGCTGAGTCACTTATTGGTGAGATAAACCACGTATTTGGCTTCTCTGGGCAACATCTCTGCCAGGCAGGTGGTTCAACCCACAATACGCAGAAAGAAATAAAAAAGCCAGAAACCGCAAGAAGAAAGACATACATACAATGTAAGTACATACATCATGGTATTATTTAAAATCGGAAAAGGCTCACATGGTTAACCAAATGATGGACCTCTCATAACACAGAATAATACATAATCATGAAAAGGTGCTAAAAGCATTTAATTATATGCAAAAAAGTTCATAATCTGCTATTAAGTAAAAAGAAGCAGGCTATAAATAGTACACATGGCATATTCCCATTTTTGAAAAATAAAATGTATATATAATCATATGTATGTGTTTTAACAAGAATTTTAAAAACATTAAAATGTTGACAGTGGTATTCCTGAGTTGTGAATGACCATAATAATCTCCTTGCCCTTATTTGTACTTCTTGTATTTTCTATTTTTAATTTTTTTTTTAATTTTTTATTTTTGAGAGAGAGAGAGAGGGAGAGAGAGAATCCCAAGCAGGCTCTGTGCTGTTAGCACAGAGCCTCACACAGGACTCAAACTCACGAACCGTGCGATCATGACCTGAATGGAAATCAAGAGTTGGACACTTAACCAACTGAGCCACCCAGGCGCCCCATGTACTTCCTGTATTTTCACCTAACTTCTGAAATCAGCAAAAGATCATTTTAGTTAAAAAGCCAAGCAAGTAGGGCAAAAGCATTGCTGAAATCACACTGGCAGGTCTGGAGCATCACAAACAGATCTCTAAGTCCTTGATTTCTGGGAGTTTTGAGCAGTGGGAGTGGACACACCATGTAAACATGCTTTCCAAACCACCCCAGCGGAACAGATTCACCTTGGTGACTGGCTACAGGCACACAGCCCTCAGCACCACGACCCCTGGTCCAGCAGGCCCCAAAATCTGTCTTATGAATCCCCCGAAAGGTCTTAGCATTCCGGGCATTGAGAAAAACCGGCCTGCCCATTTTTCAGAAACAATGGACCTTTTTAAAAGAAAAACTTATGCTATGATCTAGCTCTTCTTGACTTCTCAACTTACCTTTTTATATCTAAAACACGTGCACTGAGGATCTGACATTTACTGTGTGGTAATTGACTTGAAAATTGTGATCTTTGTCTAAGGAATTGCCAAACCGTTACAAGTCTTAAGGACATTTTTATTCATAACTGGCAACAGTTTTATAACCTTCCAAAAGTTTGCCCTGGAGTTTTGGTCACGTAACAACTGATGTTCAGTTATATTTCCATGTTCTATTGCATTTGACTAAGAATAGAGGATGTAGAAGAAAAAAAATCCTGGGTCACAGAGCCTCTGTATTTTATACAGAAAATTCCCACTTATAATTCCTTTTTTTTTTTTTTAACGTTTATTTATTTTTGAGAGAGAGAGAGAGAGAGAACACAAGCAGGAGAGGGGCAGAGGGAGAGGGAGACACAGAATCTGAAGCAGTCTCCAGCCTCAGAGCTGTCAGCATAGAGCCCGACGCGGGGCTCGAACCCACAAACTGAGAGATCATGACCTGAGCAGAAGTTGGACGCTTAACCAACTAAGCCACTGAGGCGCCCCCCACAACCACCTATAATTCTATTGTTATCAATTACAAAGGCTAAGAAGGGAATATAATAATAAGTAATGATAACTAGCAACTTGTTGAGTGTTTTCTAGTTGTTAAGTCTATTATATGTTTTCTCTTTTGATGAGGTTGCTAATGCAGCCTACCCAATATAACTCACATGATACCCATTTTATAGATGAGGAAACGGAGGTCAGTGAGCTATGGAGCTGAGATTCGACAGAGTATAACTTGAGAACTTCGTAACTAGTCTGTGGCCAGTGGGTTCACACTGGACATAGAGAGAGAAGCTAGGGGAACACACTTAGGGGCCACTTGCCAGGAGCCCTCAATATGATGCCAGAGTTCTGTGTTTAGGTTTGAAGGCCTCACTGCCTAAGCTAGAATATACATGTGCATATGTGCGTGCACATATACACCTGTATGTTCATGTGTGTATATGTACATTTTCCATCTGACGAATCCAATACCTATGTGTACCCCACTCTTCCCCATAAACCCGGAAGTGATATTGCTAAATCGCTACCATCATAGGTCTATCTGGCTTCCTGGATTTCTTCTCGTCCTGGCGGATGTGTGGCTGACACCACTCCTGTTTTCTGACTTGTCTCTCCAGAGAATGTTCTTGACCAGGGGGCATCTATTTGCTTACTTGGCTGGGCCTCTCACCTCCTCTTGTGGGCTCCAACAGAGTCGACCAACCACATGAGGAGGAAAACTTCATTCAGGTGCTCTGTCCACAGCCTGTCCCAGGCTTGCACACCTCCTGAAAGGGAACAGGATGGGGCAGGGTTTCCGGGGCTACTGCTGGGTGTAGGGATGATTTTGACAAATTTACAAATCAGAGTTTGATTTGGAGCTTCATCTTCTGGATGTTTTGCTACTTTCTTAAACATCCCCATTATAATCAAGACCAATTTTCTTGGGTCGCCTGGGTGACTCAGTCGGTTAAGCATCCAGCTTCGGCTCAGGTCATGATCTCACGGTTCGTGGGTTCGAGCCCTTCATGGGACTCTGTGCTGACAGCTCAGAGCCTGGAGCCTGCTTTGGATTTTGTGTGTCTCTTTCTATCCCTCCTCTACTCATGCTTTCTTTCTCTCTCTCAACATAAATAAATTTAAAAATATATTTTAAAAAAATTTTTTTAAAGACCAAGTTCCTAAAGCAACTCAGAACAATGGACAACTCTGACAAACTTGTCCCTCTACTGTTGCTTAAGGAAGTGTCTCCTAGGACTTTTAACTAAAACCGTGAACACGAGTGTGCCAGCCTGAGTAGTCTTCTGCACCCTTAGTCTTTGAATTACATAATGAGAAACTGCTAGAAAGAAGCAATTACATTGAAAAGTAAAACAGTAGAGCCGTGAGAAGAGGAAAAGTGGCACAGGAGAGAGGCTGCCTAAATCCTACTGACTTAATAATGAAATGGAAAAATGTAGGTGTGAAAGAAGGATTACAAAGCTATTAGGAGCTTGGCCATCAGGGCGGCAATTGAACCACTGGCAACGGATGGAGCAGAATTGCACCACAGCAGAAGAAGGAAACCAGAAACTAGAAAATCAAGAACGAAGCTTGGAGATTGCTTATAATGCACTTACCTACACAGATGATTTAATTTCACCTTGAACCACCCAAATCCTCTCTTGCATATTAGGTTCCACCGACTGCCATTGTTTGTGGAATTCTTGTCATCTCTGTGAAAGAGGAACAAAATTACAAAGGCCAAAAGTAATTACATTTTAAATAAACTCAAACCATATTTAACTCTTATCACCCCCCCACTCCCACATTCTACTTCTTCCTTTTAACCCTTAAGGATTAGACGACCACTTGGTTCTTATTTTTGCAAATCAGAAATAGGATTTGAAACATGTAAAACATGGTCATATCCTAAATCAAACAAAAATGCAAATTAAATGTCTTAGAGAAACAGTCTTAGAGAAATACTTTAAGGAAACAGTGTCTGCTATTCAAAACCTCATAATGAAACGGAGTGCCAAGGTCCCAGGCTGGCCTTTCCAAATAAAGCCCAGCTGATGGAAGGGGGGCAAATCCTCCTGGATCCAGGGCTGAGAGAGATGGCATCCTTCATGTGGTATCTCCTCGTGTTCCAGGCAATAATGTCTCCTTGTGCCAGAAACGTAAGACCCAACTTGCTGCCTTCCAAACTGGGAGTCGGAACGTTCCCCATTTGGACATATAACATGAGATGGCCAGGGCAGAGAGAAGACAGGGAGGCTTCTTTATAGTAGCATCATAAGCGGTCTCCCAGTGAGAAGATGATTCCCCAGGAAAAAGTCACCCCAAGGGTCCCCCTTAATAGTAAATTATGGCTTAGTGTATTAAACTGTACCCCAGAGGCCTAAGGGAATTATGGAAACTGCCTGATTTACTTTTACAAAGTGATTTACACCCAGGGGTGTAATCTATCTCAATAAATCTGAAGCCTCTACACAACAGTCCCCTTCTAAGGTAACAACAAAGCAAGGCGATTTCAATTATATAGTTATTTACCACCACTCTGTTCAGCTTCCCTCAGAGTCAACACCGAAGGGAGCAAACTCAAGCGTCTTTAATTTATGCTGTCACATGAAGACCATTTTCTCATGTAATAAAAGAAAATAAAGGGAAATGCAGTAAAAGACTCTCTCTCTCCCTCTCTTGTTTTCTCTCTCTCCCTCTCTTGCTTTCTCTCTCTCCCTAGGCACACCCCTGAGATGCTTTGAGATTTCTACGCTCTCAGACACTGCCAGGGGCATTTCCAAAGGACAGAAAGCTCTTGTACCCACAGATGACGGAACAAAGGGTGTCTTAGTTTCAACATGACTGCTCATCATTTCACTTTTACCTGCCCGTCCTTGGGTTCTGCAATTTGCTTCATAATTGAAAGGTGAACTTCAAGTTCAATTAGTAGGACAATTCATTACCTTGCAACCAGAAACGGCAGCTGAAAACCGATTTTAAATAAGATCTGCCTTCTGTGATTTCATGCGGGGAGTCTTCGGTTCACAAAACTCTTTTTAAATTTAATATTTATTGGGGGTATTTCCCAAAAGGGCATTTGCTAAAGTTGCTGCTGCCAGAGGTTGAAAACATCGCTCAGGTAAAAGCAGCTTTATTTATACAACCAGAGACTATTTATATCACTATTATCGATTGAATGTTCAGCCCATTTTCTTATCAGCTGAGCATCTCCCCAAAATGAAAAGCAGCAATAAGAAGCTGTGGGGACTGAAATATCCATCAAGTTTGACAGAACTAGGTCTGCATTTAGGAAACGATGCTGGAAGTCTGGGGATTTCTCCCCAAACAGGAACCATCTCCCCTGCATAGTCGATCATCAAAAGCTCTGATCAGATTCAAAATCATAAGACACACTCACTCAGACTGATGCAGACAAATTACGTCTCTTCCTGAAAATGGTTCTGTAAGTCTAAAATTTCAACAAGGATTCTAGCCATTTCAGAGTGCATTGAAAATAATCTCCTTTTCCTCTCGCTCCCTCCAGGTCTTCTTAATACAAAGATAACAGCTCGGTGCAAGTCCACAGACTATTCTGGATCTAGAAGTTACCTTGTTTCTCAGCAGGCAGGAGTGAAGTCTGTTGAACTGATCTTTCTTTCTTTCTTTCTTTCTTTCTTTCTTTCTTCTTTCTCTTTCTTTCTTTCTTCTTTCTCTTTCTTTCTTTCTTCTTTCTCCTTCCTTTCTTTCTTTCTTTCTTTCTTTCTTTCTTTCTTTCTTTCTTTCTTTCTTTCTTTCATGTTTATTTACTTTGGAGAGTGCACGAGTGGGGAAGGGGCAGAAAGAGGCGGGGACAATATCTGAAGCAGGCTCTGCGCTGACAGCAGAGTGCCCGACGCGGTGCTCAAGCCCACGAACTGTGAGATCGTGACCTGCACCGAAATCAAGAGTCGACGCTTAACCGACTGAACCACCCAGGTGCCCCTGAATTGATTTCCAAAACAGAAGCAGCATCCAGCTCTGGGTCTCCCGGTTGGGCTTGCCCAGGCAGCGCATGCAGGATTCCCATCATGTGAGTGACGGGAGCCTGGGCGAGGTGGCCGGTGACCCTCTAGACCAAGGACAGAGGCCACATTTGCCACCCCACTGCCTCCTGTCCTGAGCAATCTGTCTCACTTTGGAACCTCGGCTTGAAAACTCATACCCTGTGAAGACTGGGTTTTTCAGTTTGCAAGGTGCTGCTTTTGCTTGATTTGGTTTTGGTCTTGGTAAGAGAAATTCCAGATTCTGTGAAAGATAACCAGTATGAGTTCACAGGCTTTTCAAACACCCGCTTCACAGGAAAGGAGAAGCCTTGTGACTTAGGGCTGAATTTTTTAAAAGTTGTGCAGGAAGATTGCTTTGTAAGATACACTGGGCTTTCATCGCAGAGAGGCAATTAGAAAATATAGATTTGTTCATGTGTGGTTTAATTTTATGTTTTAAGAAGAAGTTGGCCACAGAGTGAACAAACTTAGCATTGGGACAGCCGAATGTTACCTGCCTTCTGATACAATGCAGAAAGTACAGCCTCCATCACTCGGACAGACGTCTAGCCCAAAATGTCTCACCTGAATCTAGTCACCAGGGAAGAGCCAGACAAATCTAGGATGTGGGAGATTCTACAAGACAATTGGTGTGAATGAAAAAGAAATCAAGTAATGGGCGCCTGGGTGGCTGAGTCAGTTAAATGGCTGACTCTTGATTTCGACTCAGGTCATGGTTTCACGGTCATGAGTTCGAAGCCCACATTGGGCTCTGTGCTCACAGTGTGGAGCCTGCGTCGGATCCTCTGTCTCCCTCTCTCTGTCCCTCCCCTGCTCACTCTTGCTCTCTCTCAATAATTAATAAACGTTAAAAAAATTTTTTTTAATCAAGTAATGTAAAACAGACAAACAAGACAAAACCAAAAGCCAGAGGGACTATTCTAAGTTAGAATTTCTTGAGGCTGCAAGAGACATAACAACCAAAGGCAGTGATGAACCACAGCTATAGGATGAAATTTTAAGTGATAAAAAATAAATTTTATAAGACTCTTGTGGTATTTGAATATGGACTGTACACCAGATGTTATTAAATTAATGTTAGCTTTCCTCCGTGTGATAATTCTGTTGTGGTATTGGCAGATGTCCCTTGTGGTAGATGGTTGCCGAAGTATTTAGGGGTGAGTGTCACTGTGTCTGAAACTTTCAGATGGTTCCGACAAAGCATACATATATAAAAGAAAAATAATATGCTGTCTAGTGAAGAGGTAAGACAGGCTGTAGTTTTCTTGAAGCATAGAGTATATTGTGAGGCACTCACCTGAGCTGGTTTTCACCTTTGTTCCTGGCAGCAGATATAAAGAATATTTGATGGTTTGATTCATACCTGGGAGCGAATTCAATGTTGCAGCTCTGAGGAACCAGATAAGCAACTTCAGGTGCCAGAAGTGAATTTGTCTCCCTTGGAAATGGGACTCTAAGAGTGGCATTATGGACAAATCTATGTGGCGGGTCTTCTTTTAATTTCTCGTTCTGAACTCGGTCCTGTTTCAGAGGACTAGAGGAAGACAGGTTAAGGCTTGTCAAAGTCAAGACCATGGCCTCTGGCTGCTGTGACCATTTCCATTTGAAAACTCTGAAACATCCTCTTACTGTTTTGAGGAGGGATTGGGAGCAGGAGGAAACAACTTATTTTTAGAGTGGCTTTCCATTTCTCACAGGTACCAGACAAGCTTTGGATGTCAGAGCCCAGACAGCTACTGTTCCTGCCCCTTCAGCACAGGCCACCGCGGGGGTGCTGAGCAACGCAGAGGAGAAGGGGCCGGGAATGAGACCCAGTGAGATGTTGCATTGTCGGTGGACCAGTCAGGAACAGATCCGGACCACCACCAGATCTGGGAGAAAAGCACGGGGTTTTAGAAGGCAATCTCGCAAACGTTAATATAAACCCTCTTGCAGTTTATAACACTGGACGATCACGAACAACCTAATTGGCTACATAAGCATTGGTCCAGCGGAGGACATGCACGTGACTTTGTTTAAAATAACTTAGTGGAGCCATTCTCTAAAAATAATAATTTGGTTGAAAATGAATAATCTATGGGGCGCCTGGGGGGGGGCTCAGTTGGTTGAGCATCTGACTTCGGCTCAGGTCGTGATCTCCCCGTTCTTGAGTTCGAGCCCCACATCAGGCTCTGTGCTGACAACTCAGAGCCTGGAGCTGCTTTGGATTTTGTGTCTCCCTCTCTCTCTGTCTGTCTCTCTCTCAAAAATAAATATTAAAAAAGAAAATGAATAATCTCTAATCACTGTTGGTTTTGTGTTTTTTTCTTTTGTCTTACAAACGTTGGCAAATTTTGTGCACTTTTTAAAAGGGCATTTTTAAAAACTTTTATTTCTTTAAGCAATTTGGCCCATCTTTCCAGGATTTCTCCAATCATTTTCCTCCTTTCTCCCCTCTCCTTTATTGTAATTTATTTTCAACCAGTTATTCTGGCTCTGTGTTGGTTTGTCAGGGCCAAGTTGGAAGCAACCAAAATGTCCAACAATAGGAGTTCAGTTGGAAGCAACTCAAAATCTAACAAGAGTGGATTGCTTAAATAAATTATAAAAGGTGTTTCATCTTATGCACAAAAACTTTTCAAATGTGAACGGGTAACTTGTAATATTCAATTTTTCCCAATTCCAAAATTTTATGAACACATTCCTGG